GGAATACTTATACTGAGGAAGTAAAATACTACTACTATGAAAATTATAAAATAAGATCAAAAATGGAAATATATTTCAAATTTATGGATTAAATGACTTAATATTATCAAAGATCCATATTCCCTATAGCAATCTAAGGATTCAACGCAATTCCAATTCAAATTTCAATGACAATTTTGTAGAAATAGAAAAAAGAAAATTCTAAAATTCACATGGAAACCTGATGGACACCAAGAGCCACAACAATCAATCATGAAGAAAAAAGAAAAATATATGTGCATACTGCAGAGCTCTGCTTTATTCCCCTGTAAGAGGCTTACTGAAAAGCCACAAAAAATTCTGTTATCAATGGAAAAAAATTTAAAAATTCTGTTATTAAAGAAAAAATAGTAAGGGACTGGCATAACATTATACATATAAATAGAAAAGAGCAGAGTCCATTAATACAAGCCTTGCTATATAAAATCATCTTTTAACAGTCCCAAGATTTGGAAGAGAACAGTTTCTCAAAATTATAGGTAAGGTAAGATTTTTAGTTCTTTAGGCTAGACTATTACTTACACAGAATTAATTAAAAATGAACTAAAGATCTAACCGAAAATACAAAAACTTAATCTCTATATGATAATAAAGGAAAAACATGATACTGGACTTGGCAAATTGTTCTTGAGTATAAAGTCAAAAGCTCAGACAAACAAGCAAAACAGACAAATGGAAATAGATAGTATGTGTGTATATATATATATATACACACACACACACATATATACAATATATATTTGTAACTTCATATAAAAAAAACAACCAACAATCTATTTCATTAAAAAAATTAATTGCATGCCACAGAGGCAGGGTGGGATTGGGGGGGGGGGGGGGAGGGATACTGGGACCCGTGGTGGGGGAAAATGGGCACTGGTGGAGGGATGGGTATTTGAGCATTGTGTAATTGAAATCCAAGCACAAAAATTTTTAAGTCTATAACTGTACCTCATGGTGTTTCACTAATAAAAATTTTTTTAAAAAAGAAAAGAAATTGCATGAGGCCAGAGAGATAATATAGCAGGTAAGGTGCTGGCCTTCCAAGTGGCCGACCCATCTACCAGGAATGATTCCTCAGCACAGAGCCAGAAGTAAACCCTGAGCACCTGCAGGTATAGGCCAAAAATAAAAAGTAAAATACAGAAGAAACTGCATAAAATAATATGTTGAGCCTTTAGCAAATGGAAATGCAACATATTTTCTAACGACATCACAAAAGGTATGGGTAGGGCACAGCTATACTTGAAGAATCGAGGACTGGGTCTGAGAAATTATATGTTTATGGCACTTCCACTCCATTTGGCTGATCCCAGTTAGATCCTTCTACCACATATGGTCTCTTGAGCACTGCCAGGAGTGGTCCCTGAGCAATCACTAAGAACCATCAGTGTAGCCCCAAAATAAACAAAAATGGAATCAAGTACTCCCTAAATTTATATAAGTGGCACTACAGATAAACTGTATTATGCAGCGGTTTCTAATGTTTAAATATTAAACCCAAAATTCTATCATTTGAAATTTGTTAAGTCCTTTTAATATTAACCAATTGGTACAAACTCAATAGTATACGACATAAATGTTTAAATGTTATATTAAATAAATTTTAAGAATAATATATTTTAAAGTGTTTACTCCCATTGATAGTACTCAAGTAATTAGATAAGTATCACTATAACACAACAAACATGTACTATGTAAAAAATGCCAGTTTTATTTACTATTATATAAGTACCTGTCACAAAAAAAGGTAAATAGATGAGAGAGAGCTCATGGGGCTGAGGACTTTATACAGAAGGCCCAGGTTCAAGCCCGAGCACCTCAAGGTCCCGTAAGCACTGAGGGGAGTGATTCCCCAAGCAGAGCTGAGAGTAGCCCCTGAGTATCTCTTCGAAACAAAAATTAAAACTAATAAATAAGTGACTGAGTAGCTTTAAGGGGCTCTCACTTAACTATAATGGAAACCATTTTCCTCAACTGCAAAATCAATAAAGCTGGATATAATATTTTCTAAAGCAGTATAGTTCAACAAACAGAACTTTCTGCAATAGTAGAAATGTTCCACATATTTTAGCCCTTAAAATGTGACAAAATGAGGAAATATAATTTTATCTTGAAAAGCTGTGGCTACCATATGAAACTACAACGTATAATCCTATATAAAAGTTCATTTATAGGTGCTAGAGAGATAGTATAACAGGTAACGCTTACATTGCCAGGAATAACCACATAAGCACAACCAAATATAGTACAACTCCCCTATCACCTCAAAAGTACATTTTAAAATGCATCCCAGCAACCACACAAATGTGGGATTCTATGTTTATGTATATATATACATACATGTACCATATACATACATTATGTACCAGACATATACCAAAATATAAAACATAAAATATATAAATCTATAAAACACTTCCCTATAAAAACTAACATTTGTAAATCTAGTCTACTAAAGTTCAATTAAAAAAGTCATCTAAGTCACTAACATGATTTCATAACACTACAAAGGTTCCTTTCAGCTCTAAAATATTATGCTATATACAGACTATCCTAAGGGTATGCATTCAATATTCATTTAGTAATCTAAGTTACAAGCCACTAATTAATTTGAAGGCTTGTTTTATCAGTTTCTAATTTAAAAGTCCACAATGATTCCTGCATCTCCCTGCTAATACATACTATATATGTATATATATGTATATATATCTATGTATATATGTATAACCAAACACTCCAATTCATGCTTGCCCTACTTTCAAGAGCTGACAGCTTGGTGTCCAGGCAGGCAGTAACATTCCTTGGAAGGTGGTGTTCAGGGACCATGAGGGTCCTACACAATGGTGGGGGTGGGGGGGTGCGGGGCATTTGGTGCATAGGATGGAACTCAGGGACTCATGTGTTCTGCCACTTGAGCAATCTTACTGGCGCCTTAAATTCGTTTTTAAATAATGCAGCAAAAGTTTCATGTCTTTCAAGAGGTACAAAACAAAGGTAACATCTTTTCCACTTTTTTTTTCACATTTCAGAAATAGTAGGATACACAGCATCGAGAGAGGACATTGTGGGGACAGGATTCTGAAGAGATAAAAGCTGTATTTTTATTGCCATTTATTCATCTCTTCTAAAATCCCTTGGACTTCTTTCCTCTGCATTCTTCCAGTCTAACCAAGTCCAACAAATTCTATCTTAACTTCATCTGGCTTAATAGAGAACTACAAAACAAGATTCTGGGCACCGAAATCTCTTGGTACCCAAGAGATCATGTGTTCCCCTTTCAAGTATAAAATGCTTACAAATGTTATAAAACAGAATGCTTCTCTAAACCATGTTCTATACTGAACAGTTTACTAGTCTATATTACATGCAGTTCTACATAAAGCCCATCCTCTCTCTTACCTGTGGACCTTACACATGCTATTTCCCCTTTGTGGAACTAACTTCTACATTTCCAGGTCTTGACTCAGATCACTTAGCTCACATTAAATTTGATGTCCCTTAAGCACATTTTCCTAGAACTTAGCAACTGTATTATGATTGTCTCACCTATTGTATCATCTATTTCCCCTACAAAATTGCAAGCTCTTAAATGAGAGGATCTGTTGTTTTTGTTCACTGCTTTCAATGTACTCAATAATTACTGAATGAAAGAATGCATCTAATTCCTTCAATATTAGACATGCCTCCTGGTAATTTCCTAGGAACGTGGACTCCCAGGAATGTTCTCGCAGTTCTGTCACCAGAATGAGACCCTAACTATATCCATATTTGCTTTGGATGACTACAGCCATCATTGTTAATTTTTTTATTTAACCTACTTGTTTTTAGTTTTTTGCTTTCATTACTGTAATGCTTAACTCCAATCTTCTAAAATAATCCTTGAAGGCATAGTTTTTTCACCTGTTACCCCATTAGCCTGCACAGTGCTATGTATACAGAAACTTTCTGTGGAAGAAATATTTAGAAGGTTTGCCATAAAGTGTTGACAATACTTTAATGATACTAATGAACAAGTGGTGGTGGTAATTAAGCTTTTTTGCCAGTATATAGAAAATAACAATATAGTGATGTACACCAAGTACAAATGTTTTTTGAACTGTTCTTGAGATAATGGGTAAGAGGCAAGCCTTATTCTCTGAAGTCGATGTTCTCTCTTACACATGTATCTCTTCTTTTTCCACTCTGAAGAAGCCCTTGTTCTCTTTGGAAGATGTATTCCTCTCTCTCTCCCATCATGTCTTTCTGACTAAATTGCGTTCAACAAAAACTATCAGATTCAGGAAAAATAAATATTACGGGGGAACTACAACCACAGCTATAGTCATTAAAGTTACATAACGTTTGGATTCCAAAGGGACCACTGTACTCAGAGCGCTATATTCTAATTAAAGGACAACTGTGTTTACAAGTGAAGTTAGAATGGTTTATGTGCTGGGAGAAAGATAATTACAATGTGGGCCTATCAAAAAACTGTCAGGAAGGGACCTGACTGGCGCCAATTCACTTTGCCGCTCGTTCTTAGGTACTGTGCCTCTCTAAATGCTACTGCGATGGAATAAAATCTAAAACGTTGGCAAACTGGTCCCAAATTCCATTACTAACTTGGTACAGCAGTCCAAATCTTCCCTGAATTTAGAAAGGTACAGTCTGGGAATGATGTCTCGCCATCATTTTCCCTCAGAGGGAAAAAATGGTAAATTCTGTGAGGGTCAACCGAGCTCCAGATGTCCTCTACACAGCTACACAGCACCGCCGATTATGTTCCCATTTGCCACAGTCCAAAGGTTTTCTTCGCCTCTGCTTAAAAATACTGTCCGAATTTCCTTTAACTACTGCGTCTCCAATTTCTCTTTGACAACCATTCTTCTTGACGTTCTATCGGCCCTGAGGTCATAAAGGCAACCTTTCCCCTTAAGTCCCCTAGTCCTCTGCCCCGCTCGTCCGAGTGAAGGGCTTTTTACCTGGGATACTCGAGCGGTTCCGAACACTCGGAGCTGACGTGACATCCACTGAGCCCCCGGGCCACAGACCGAAACGACTGGCCTCATCAGAATTGCACTGTGCCGCTGCTTTTCGAAAGCAGCCGCCGCGGCTGCCCAGCGCCACGAAGGTATCGCGAGCAGCGCCATTTTGACCGAGGGAAGAGGAACCTAGAGCAGAGGATTGTGGGATGTGGGCGGACCAAACAGGGCTACCTTAATGCTTCCCCTCCCCCTCAGTTCCTCTGGACCTGAGGCCCGAGGAAAAGCCTCTCGGTGGTAATTGGATGCTTTACCCTACTGGTTTTGTTCTTCTAACAAGGTGTTTTTCTTATACAGTCCGGAATAGCGAGTCACATTGCCTTCCCCGCTTTTCCTCGATTTGCCAGATAAAATAAAGATCCCTAGTAAATTTCTATTTCAGATAAATGTGAATAGGCAACTAATGTTTCAATATAAGTATGCCTCAAATAATCTATGTTATCCATCCTCCACTATTCCCTTGCACCTCCAACTCAGTGCCACCATTCATTTTGCATTTTCCTTATACATTTTATTTTTATTTATTGTTTTTGTTTTGGGAGCCCAGCCCAGCGATGCATAGGGTGTACTCCTGCCTAGCTCCATGCTCAGGGATCCCTCCAAGCAGTGCATCAGGGGCACCGATTGTGGTGCTGGGAGTCAACCCCAGTAGACTGTATGCAAGGTAAGCACCCTGCCCGTTGTACTACCTCTCAGACTCCCCTATAGGTAATCTTTTTTTAAAAATTTTTTTGGATGGGGGGGTCACAACCGGCGATGCACAGGGGTTACTCCTGGCTCTGCACTCAGGAATTACTCCTGGCAGTGCTTGGGGAACCATATGGGATGCTGGGAATCCAACCCGGATTTGCTGCTGTGCAAAGAAAACACCCTACCCACTGTGCTATCGCTCCAGCCCCCCTATACATAGTATTAAATCCTCTCTCTTGTGCACTTATGTTTGGGACAGATTAGACAACTGATATTAGTTTCCCTAAGGGGGCTCTTCATCTGTAAGGTTCAGATTCTCCCTTTTGTAAGAGGTGTTATCTGACTCTTTGTTTTCTTCAGTGTAAACTTTGGGGTATTTTTCCTTTGAGCTGTTACTTTTGAGACATTTTTACACACACATACACACACATTCTCCCTGATAATTTGCCTCTTACCTTTCCCCTCTGTTTTCTGCAGCACACCTAAATATTGCAAAACAACTGGATTGGCTAAGGGATGGTCAAGTGAATAGGCTGAGCAGTTCATGTTTATTTTTTTATTTTTATTTTTTGCTTTTTGGGTCACACCAGGCAATGCACAGGGGTTACTCCTGGCTCATTCACTCAGGAATTACTCCTGGCGGTGCTCGGGGAACCATATGGGATGCTGGGAATAGAACCTGGGTCTGCCGCATGCAAGGCAGACGCCTTACCCGCTGCGCTATCTCTCCAGCCCCCAGCAGTTCATGTTTAAAGATACATTTATTTTTTGTCACTATCATTATTAAGCTAAATAGCGCTGAAATATGTTATCTTTGAAAATGGATTTCCAAGTGAAAATGTTGTCTGAAACCATTGAGACAGTGTTGTGGTAGCAAATTTATATGCATTACTGCATTCTCAAATATTTCACACAAAATAGGCAAATATGAACTCCTTGTGTAGAGCACTATGTAAAATAATACACTTGACCCTTGTATTTGGTTTTTCATTATTATGAGATTTATATTTAAACTCTAGTTTTCCAGAGAAGAATACACTGGAGAAGAATTATTTAAACAATAAATATATCGGATATCAGAATCCGGACGAAAACACACCCCCTCAGTGTTTCTATATCATTGAAGAGTTTGTAGAAGAGCCCATGTAAAAGAACAGGTTTAAAATAAGGTCTTTCTTAGAGAAGAGAGCACCAAATAAAGGGTGTTGTGAGGACCCTCCCAGGGTGGGAGAAGCATGCTAAAAGTAGTCTATAGACCAAACATGATTGCCACTCAATGCCCCTCTTACAAAACACAGTACCCAAAAGAAGAGAGAGAGAACAAGGGGGAATACCCTGCCACAGAGGCAGGGTGGGATGGGGGGGCGGGGATGAAGGGTGAGGGGGATGCTAGGACCCGTGGTGGTGGAGGATGGGCACTGGTGGAGGGATGGGTACTTGATCATTGTGTGACTGAAACCCAAGCACAGAATTTGTAAGTCTATAACTGTACCTCATGGTGTTTCATTAATAAAAAAAGAAAGAAAAAAATAAAAAATTATTTAACTATAAAAAAATAAATCACTTAATCACTTAACTTCCCGTTAGTCGTCGATTTGCTCGAGTGGGCGCCAGTAACGTCTCCATTTTTCCCTGTCGCGTGCTAGTGTAGCCCAATGGCATCTCTTCGCTCCGGGAACATGGAGGGCCTCAAACCGATCGTTCATGACCTTGACAAAGAAGTCTGACCATCTGGTAGGTGGGCGGCCACGTGGTCTTTTGACATCCCGTGGAATCCAATCAGTAACAGCTCTAGTCCAACGGTCGTCTTTAAATCTCATTACGTGACCAGCCCATCTGATTTTCGACACCTTGGCAAATGAGACAGCGTCCCTGATCCTTGATCGTCGACGGATGTCAGAACTCCGGATTCGTTCTCTCATTTGAGTGAAACGTGATATTCCAAGCATAGCTCTTTCTATTCTTCTTTGGGAGACCTGAATGGCGTTCTCATCTTGTTTGCGTAGGGCCCAGGTCTCTGAGGCATATGTTAATGCAGGAAGAACAGTGGAATCAAAGAGATGTGCCCGGAGCCGGAGGTTCTTTGTCCTCTTAGCTATTTCTTCGACGTTCTTGAAGGCGTTCCAAGCCGCTCTCTTCCTCCTGCGCAGCTCGGGTGCCAGGTCATTTGTCATGTTGACCTCTCGACCTAGGTACACATAGCTGTTGCATTCGGAGATGGTCGTTCCATTGAGAGCGAATGGGGCGTCAGGAACAAGGCTGTTTCTCATAAACATTGTCTTCGTAAGATTCAGCTGTAGTCCTACCTTTCCACACTCACGGTCAAAGTCGGCCAGCATTTGTGCCGCTTGGCTGATGTTTGGTGTTATTAAAACAATGTCATCAGCAAAGCGGAGGTGGTGTAGTTGCCGACCATCTATCTTCACTCCCATTCCTTCCCATTCCAGTCGTCGCATGATGTTCTCGAGGGTGGCACTGAAGAGTTTTGGTGAAATGGTATCACCCTGCCGCACTCCTCTCTTGACATCAACGATCACTTCTTTGTAGAATGGTGAGATCCTGGTAGTGAATCCGCAATACAGCTCACGGAGGATCCTGATGTATTGGGCTTGAATGCCCTGATTGGCTAGGGCTTCAATGACCGCTTCCGTCTCAACAGAATCAAAGGCCTTCTTTAAATCAATGAACGTTAAGCAGAGCGGCATCTTGAACTCCCGAGAAACCTCAATGAGTTTGGTTATCGTGTGGATATGGTCGATGGTGCTGAATCCTTTGCGGAACCCTGCTTGCTCACATGGTTGTCCTTCATCTAGTGTTCTGCCAATCCTATTCAGGATGACTCGAGTGAACAACTTGTAGATGACAGACAATAGGCAGATCGGGCGATAGTTGCCAATGTCATGGATGTCTCCCTTCTTGAACAGTAGTACGGTCCTGCTGGTTTTCCATTGAGATGGAACCTTGCATTCAGACAGGTAGCGAGTGAAGAGCCGAGCCAGTGTATTGATGAGTACTGACGGCAGGTTCTTCAGGTGTTCAGGTCTGACCTTGTCTGGGCCGGGTGCTGTTTGCTTCTTTACTAACGAAATGGCGTGTCGGATTTCGGAAGGGAGAACGTTGGGAACGACATACCCATCCTGTGGAATTTGGTATGTCGGCAAGTGGACATGGCTATCGAAGAGATTTGAGTAGAAGTCATGGATAATCTTCTCCATTGCCGTTCTGGAGGATGTGATGGATCCATCAGGACGTCGGAGGGCAGTCATCTTGGTCTTATAGTTGGCGAAGGACAGGCGGGCGTTACGAATACTTTTCCCGGCTTCTGCCGCATCTACCAGTACTTCTGCTCTTCTCTCTTTGAGGTCTTCCTTGATCGCATCTCTGCACTGCTTTGCAAGCTCGGACGTTAGCTTGCGGTTGCCTGAGGCATGCGCCAAACCACGCTGGCGAATTAGCTCAAGAGTTTTCGAAGATAGGCGACTTTTTGTGGCTATCTCTCTCTTGGCGTTCCTCGCACATTCATGGAGGTGCTGAACCAGTCGATCGTATTCCTCGTCAATGTTGTCAACAATGGCATCTTCCCATGTTGCCGCAATAGTACCAAAGAGTTCCCAGTTGGTGGTCGTTCTGGGAGTTCTCTTTTTGAACTTTGCAGCCCTTTCTCCCCGCTCTGTGAGGTAGAATTTTGCACGAAGAAGATGGTGGTCTGATCCCGTTTGGAATTTTGGGAGAACAGCAACATCGGTTAGGCAAAACCGCCGATTGAATATGATGTGGTCTATTTCATTGTGGAACCGTCCATCGGGAGACTCCCATGTCCAACGTTTAGATTCAGCCTTTTGGAATTGTGAGTTACCATGGAAGGTTTTGGTTGACATGATGAACTCAGACAGTCTGTCACCCTGTTCGTTCCATTCCAGGCCATGGGTTCCGATGTGGAGTTCATCGACTGATCTTCTTGGTCCTATCTTGGCATTAAAATCACCGACAATGATCTTGTAGAAGGTGTGATCTTCTTTATAGAATTTCTCCAGCTCCATGTAGAATTTCTCAGTTTCTCTTTCACCATAACTGGATGTTGGTGCATAGACAACAAAGATAGAAACTGCCGGTAGTGAGCCACATTTATTCAAGTGTAATCGTCCGATTCGGGTTGTTAGGCATTCAAATGAATCAATGCTCGTGACTAAGTTTGTGTTGTATTATTATATTATATATATATTACTTAATATTTATTCAGCATCTATTCTGTTCTTAGAGATCACCACTGTATAGAAACCTTATATTCTACCAATAATTTCTTTTAGGTTTAAATATTGTCATTGAATCTTGTTACACAGGTAAGGCATTATCAAGTAAGCTTAGGGTTTTTTAACTGGAGGTTGGGGCCAAGAGGAAGGAAAGGGATGGATTTGATA